CGGACAACTACAGCAGAGTTAGCCCCCGTGCAAATCACGCAAGATTTCGGGTCGCATCCTCCTCAATCGACTAGTCGCGGGCATTGTGGAACAATGTATTCGTGAGAGCAGCGGTGATTCCCGAGCGGACATTGTACGATGGAATTACTCTCCGCTTCCGGGCAAGTACGACAGAAATGTCGAACCAACCACCTTGTGAATTGTTTGTGGATGTCACTAAAGTCTTTTATTCAGTCAACAGAGAAGCACTGAAGACAGTCCGTGGAAAGCTTGGCTGTCCGGACAAATTGGTCAAATTCATCAAAGCCTTCCACACTGAGATTGTAGCCAAAGATGCAGGAATGAAATAGAGTCATATCCTCGCCCTGGGCCCGTTCATCTTGCAATCAAAAAAAAAAACAAATGCAGTGAAGCTTAGGGAAACAGATTATGTATTGGGAGAAGACACAACAGGATGTTGATCGCAATAATTCATTGAAAACAGCTTACTTGATTGAACCAGCGAGTTGAAGCCACAATATTTGGGGCATGTTTCTGCTTCTCTTTGCCGTTCCACTTCAGACTCGTCAGTTCCTGTCCGCAAAAGTACGAGACAAAAATGTGTTACGCATATGTGATCCGAAATGGGATGAGTAAAAATGTAGACTGATATCATCTATCTCACTAAAGGTTTATCTGAACTAGTGATTACACAAAGATTTCATTCAACAAATCTCTAGAGGCACACGAAGTGGGCAACCTAGCTACGGAGAAGTCTGTAAGCGGAGGACAAGCTAAGGAAATATTAAAAAAAAAACAAATCGTTCATCTGTAGCACCCTTTCGGTGCCTAACTGCCATGCCGCACGAAAGAGGCACGAGGACTGGGATACTGCCAGGTCGCCCAAGCCTGGACAGGGGAAGTCGAGAGGTAGAGGTCGAACCACGAACCTTCCGGGTCAGTATATTCGCGCTCTAACCAATTGGTCTATCTCACCCCCAAGCTAAGACGGTTTCTAGGAAGTTCAACTGACAGACACAAGAGAAAGCCAGAAATCAGACCGTACTGACTCGTTAGACAAGTTCAAAAGACCTGTACCGCAATGGCATCATAGATTTGGTGGACTTGAGAAAATTCGATTCCGGAGAAATTATCGAAAAAGCCCAGAGAAATGGATGCAGTCAAAATTTCTCAGAATATGATATTGACGAAAAACACACACAGTGGCTTCCATCCCCCACTCCTCCGAAAAACGGACACCATGTAGAAAGGGGGTTTGTCATAAACCGATCCACCGTGGTCCAGCTTCGGGGACGACCCTCCATGAAGATTCTTGTATTTATAAGCAATTAAGTGTATAAGTGTACGCGGTTTTCGATTGCCATGGTGGTTGGATGCCGGTAGTGCAAGATGTAACGAGTACTTCTGTTGCAACTTGTTCAACGGTCGTGCAACTCTGTTTCGGTTCTTGGTTTCCTGCTCCGCCCACAATGGTATACAAAAAGTACGACAGCTTCAGATGGCCTTTATGGAGGCAAAGGAAGATTATAACGGATGAACTTATAGGGTAATCACAGAATGTCCACAAGGTCCGTGTTAAAATCTCCGTGAGGGGGCAAAAGGCGTCGAGCTAAAGATGCTCGATCTAGATTGGCTGGTATTCTGACCAATGCATGCCTCCGTTTGGTCCGTAGCCCGCAGGTGACACATCCGTCCAAATGATGCGACGTACGGTTATTGGGGACGGCTGGCCTCCGAAAAACTTCCAAAGCAAAAAAACTAGCGAAGTTGCTTAGTGGATAAAACCCAATTCGTTACCTGGAAATTCCGTACGCAGTGATAAAATGCATATCGAATGCATGAAGAATATCGGTAATTCTCCGTGGGGTCATCAATGAAGGCTTCATAAGAGTTGGGAACATCTTACTTGAAAACAAGTTGAACTTCGTGCAACCAAGAGCAGACATTCGTTTCTAATGCCTCAGGGAAAAAGCCAAGAATACTTTCGATCATCGACGGATGAGAATTTGATACAGGAGTGTTTTTGTTGCAGGTGATCAACACGTGGAGCATGTCCTTCTGCAGTGAATATCATGTTGGAGCTGACCAGATGAATGAAAAGTTCTCGGCTGCGGAGTTAAATTAATGTTCTCTCGAATGCTTATGTGTTTTAACAGTTGCAGCTATCACGATCCACAACTGCAAAACTCGTTTTCCGACGTGTGTGTGAGTATAATCGATCTATGCCTTCAGCTTTTCAGCTCATAAAGATCCTGTAAGGGGAGTTCATAGCTAAAAGGGCGAACCGTTTGGTTTGGATTCAGTTAATTAGCAAAAAGGATTTTGGCAAGACTCCTAAAAAGTGCGATCTCCGAGATGGTCCGTTCTGGTGGATGGAGTTGATCGTCGAACCTAAGCAGCAATGATATTGTCGAACGGTTTGACGTTTTTTTAGAATTCCTGTTCCATACGCCCTGTTGGAACTGGCCGGGATGGTTAGTGGTCCGTCCGATTGAAAAAACGGATCGGACTCGGCCAATGGGAGAAAAGATGAGAACAGAATTGTCGTTTTCTACAATAAAGTCATACTTTTATACTGGAAATCGCAGCCTGCTCAGACCATAATTTGAGTTTCAAATGAAAATGCGGAATAGTCGAGAAGAACTAACGAAAAGCCTTTTAATACCGAAAGCATATGGCCACCGCCCAGACGAACTACATACTGGACATGATTTGAAGGCGCTGATGGACAGCGGAAACCCATGAAATGAAGAAGCTCTTTAAGGCAGGTAGCTCTCGAACTTCGACCAATCGGATTTAATAAACTGGGCGTAAGCAGAAAAATATCCGCGAAAAAGACTTGAAAAGCACTAAGTGAAACGCGAAAGACACAAAATGCAATAAATCTCCCTCCTGAATGTGATATGTCACCAGATAAGTATGGATTACACCTTGCGCTCTTCAACGCAGGAAACGATGTACTAATAAACGACCTATAAGACGAGTGGCACAAAGATGGGATATCAGTGTCATGGACCACCTTCGTGTGATCCAAATCCTCAGAAAGCGAGCGGGAAACTCCTTTGACATTAATCTGGAATCCGTAGTGTCTAAATTTCTACACAGTACCCGAACAGGGACCTAGGGATGGGTGACACTGATGGTGCGAATCAAAGCCAGAGAAAAGAAGCTACCAAAATAAGAAGGCGTCGGGGTATCCAATCAACACAAAGGAACACAGACCGCAACGCAACAAAGATCACAAACAGACAAATAGATTCACTAAATTCGTTGCACTTCAAGTGGCCAATCACGTCAGAAGAGAACAGATAGCCTTCGAACGCTATATAAACGCACGCAAGCAAGGAAGAAGTATACACCCAACTGCGCCCTGATGATGTCTCCTCGTACGGTGACGAAACGTTTGCAAGCCAATTGTCAAGCTCGGTGAACAGATCAACTCACCCGAGCTACAAATATTTCAGCACATTACCAACTGATGGTTATTGAAACTATGGGACAAAAACCAATCACACTGTTATTCGTGAGCACGCATGGGGGGCTATCCCTTTCAATGTGCCACTCCCCTGATCATTTCCTGCTGAGTAAAACTGAACAATGCGATGTTAAAAATCCCATCTCTTATGCGTGGTTGTCTGCCAGTCATCCCGCGTTATTCCTGGTAGCAGCTTCCACTAACATTCACTGAGATTTGAACTCAAATGAACCCAAACCAACACTGTAAAATAGCGTCTAATATCAAGTGGGACAGAGTAAAGTTGAATCCCACGCGAAGGAAGTTTCTATATGAGTCTCACACAGACTACAGACATACCTGACTGTATGGAACTTTTACCATTAAGCATTACTTTCAGTTGACTCCCCAAAAATCACAAAACAGGTTACCTGAAGGCCAGGGGAGCAGAAAAAACGTGTATTCACACCAGCCCATCCAGCCATTCTGGTGGTCAGTCAGAATGTGCTGTGTCAGTGATTCGATGCCAAGACAGTAGTGCGACTGACAACCGCTCAAGCTGGCAAAACGGTTGCTGTATGGTATGGTAAAGCACTTCGTACTGACACAAATTAGTTAGTGTGACTACCGAAACTACCAGAATAGGATAAACCCACGTCGCAGATTTTTTCAGTCGAGAAACAATCGAACAAACTGAGCGTATGGAACTCAAAACGCAAATACCGCGCACTGACTGAAGCTGGTTTGAGTGAGTCTTCGATAGTACGTAAGGGGACCCGCATGCGTAGTCAACATCCAGAGTCGAACGGAAGTTCAGACATACACAAGTCAAAATACTGGTTGTCAGGCTGACAATGACATGTGGTCATTCAAACAATCTGAGTTGAGAAGACGAAATCTGACCATGTGATACCCACATGTTGATGTCTACCAACTCAACCAGGTTCAGAATCTGCGCCAAAAAGTGACATAAAGCCCGCAGAATGAACAACAAACAGGAGAGACCTGGTTGTCCATAATCCCGCCAAATTCCGCAGATTTGATAGCCTGCGATTTTTCTGTGAAGCAAGGCACAAGGATTGCTGTCACAAGTCATCATTTTTGGCGTGTGAAAACTTACGCCCCCTACGTGAATTCCGGTGCGAAATTCAGTTTTCAGGCCACGGAATCGGAGAGTTGCAGGTACTCGCCTGGCAACAACATTAAAACGAGAGTGAGTTAACCCTCTAGTCTAAAACCTCGTAAAGCTACGAACTGTCATTTTTCTCCAATTGAGGCCCAGGCACTAGTCATCTTCACTCACTACCTTTGAATCTACCAACTGATTCGGCTTTCCCACAACTGAAAATGATACATGAAGTGCCTATTGCACAGAACATTTAGTTGAGGAATATCGCAAGAACAAGAGATTCAGTTGAGTTTCTCGTTAAGACCCAATTAGTGTGCAAGTGAAGGGCACAGAACATTTAGTTGAGGAATATCGCAAGAACGAGAGATTCAGTTGAGTTTCTCGTTAAAACCCAATTAGTTGGTGAATTTCATACAATTTGAGCTCAACTAGAACATAAGGGTGTGGGAAACCTGAGGACTGCACCTATCCGATGAGGAACAAGAAGTGTTGTCGAAGTCTCCAGGTAGATCGGGAAAATGAGTGGGCTATGAACTGAAGGCGATAGCTTTGACGCAACAAGCATCACTGACTGCGAGACTGAACCATACCAGCCAGTGACGCTAACCACTGATGAGTTCAGTCCCGAGATCCTCATCCAGGGAGAAGGCAGGTGCCAACCAGACTTAAATTGCTGTGCTTTCACACTTCGTCGTCGGGTGATACACTGTCCACCCCTTGGTCGCTTCCACTGAGCACAGGGCTAGGCGAAAACAGTTCTACGAGGCAGAGAATCCTCTGGAATGCGGAGTACACGTCCTAACTAGTGCAAACTATGGAGCGTTAGTAACTCATCCACTGTGGGAGAGTTCCGCTTTCCTAAAACCATCTCGCGTACCTCAGAAGTGCTAATCCGACGTTCGAAACAGACCCGACCAATGCCTCGGAGAAAGCGACAGCCTTCGTACGTCCTCTGCACGTAAAACTCTGTCAATTGAAATGTGAGAAGGCTCTTGTAAAGAGTATTCAGTTGAGGAATACAAAAAACTAGACGTCCAGCTGGGACTGAATCCAGCTTCCCGTCAAAACCAAATTGGTGTGTGAATGAAAGCATATGGAGAATATCGTAAAAACTGAGCTTAAATACAATATATAGTTGACGAAAACTCGGGGACTGCGCCCAGTTAACAAGCCCCAAGAATGGCGAAACCTGTAATGGGCTATCAAAGAGTTTTCAGCAACGATATGAGTAGTGTTCCTTCAAGAAAACAGAAGCCTGAATTGCTGTGCAGTCTAGTGCCCCGCATGATACTTTACAGCTCGGAAGTAATCGACTAATAAGAAACCGTCCCCGTCGCTTATAACCGTGTACATCGTCCGTGTCCGAAAAGACGGTTGTCCTTATAACTGAAAGCTCAACAGATTCCGAACAATACCAGACAAATAAAACTGTTTCCAAAAACACATAGGTTGGCTGTTCAGTCGCTTGTAACATGTATGAATGGAACCATCGTTATCATCATCAACAGCATGACATCTACACCAATGCCGTACAACCATGACTTATTTGAAAGCCTTATTGTGAAGAAAAGAATAAAGTTGGACAGGGAAAGGACTTAGTGCTAGCTTACCACAATCGTTCCGAGGTGCCTACACCTTCAGACACTCCTTCAGGCAATGTGGATAGAAACTTATCAAAGGAACACCACTGACATCGGTTGGCAGCCACATATTGCAGCGTCTCCAACCAGGTGCAGTGGGGATCATGCGGTCCCCATCCTGAAAGGCAAGTAGCACTGACGTATGGATGCGCCGGAACCACAGAGCTTTGAGCTGAAAAGGTAACCAGGCGAGGAACCCATAAGAGAAGCAGGAAAGCCTCATTAAAACGGACACATCAGTTTGATTGGAGAAGGCGCCCAACCAATAAACCAAAGTACCAAATTAACTAGCGAACGCAGGGACACTAGCTGTTACAATGGGGAAAATAGGGCGGTGCAGCCAAACAATCAAGCCGGAGAAGGTCAGACCACAACGCAATGCCGATCGAGGCCAGAGAAAAAACTACTAAAAATAGAAGGCGTTGAGATGACCAATCACCGCACACGAACGCAGACCACGGCGCAACAAAGTTCACAAGCGGACCAGTGGATTCACGAACACCGCCACCCCCAAAGTTGCCAACCACGTTGGTAGCATCGTTCTTGTTATTAGCACGGCTCTGTCGCGGAACCGAGGCTCATCCAGTCATACGTTGAGAAGTGAGAAACCGTCTATGCTGCAAGTCGGTATCCATCCTGTGAATGAGGCCGCCAAAAGTACCGGAAATCCACTAACAGAATAGTAAGAATATTTTCGTGGAAAAACTGATAAGGCAGTGAGATGACCCTTACTCGAAGGGATATGGTATATTGTTTGTCGACCGGCCCTGAGCAGTCCTCAAGTTTATTTAGGTTGCCAATAACTGAGGTCGAGCTCGTGTACGCTGAGGAGAAAAGTTAAGGTTTTCTTGTATTTTCTTGAACGTTACAGTCACGTTCTGGAACACACAAATAACGGACACCACTGATTTTTGTGTACAAAAAAACGTCGTTTTTTCACTCTTCCTCCAAACTCATCGACAGCCCACGAGCGGATTCATCTCCTTAGTGTCTTGATCTCCGAGTTTTTAACAGCCTTAAATGAAGTGATACACTCGGTCGAAAACGAAGCTGCTGAATTCCAACCGAATGACTCGTGTACGATGTCCTTCAAATAAATGTGTTCTTAGTAACACCAAAGATTGAAGACGTAAGCCGCGAGCCCTCGAAGAGCTTTCGAAAACCTTGTGAGTAGTGAGCTATGCCAAAAAACGTTGCTCATGAGTACTGTGTCATGAGGCGGCTTTGGCGCAGAAAGGTCGGCTGAGGGTTGTTCTGGCACACTACACACAGTCCATCGGTTATCCCATAGCAAGGATACTGTAACACCGATATCGGTCGGACACTTAAACGATGCAAACAAGAACAAAATTCACCAGATGTCCACTATCTTCTGTCTCTATAGTTTTCCCCCAAAGCTTCGAACATCTAGTGCAAATGAAATGTCCAAGAACATACGACTGGAGTCCCAAAACAGGGTGCGTTATCTCCTGGCGAGATAGCTCACTAATTAGAGCGCGAATTTACTGACCGGAAGGTCCATGGTTCGAATCCGACCTCTACCTCTCGACTTCCTCTGTCTAGGGGCAGGCAACCTGGCAGTATCCCAGCCCTCGTGCTTCTTTCGGGTGGTATGGCAGATAGGCACCGGAAGAGTGCTATAGCTGAATTTATACACCAGGCACCGGAAGAGTGCTATAGCTGAACGCTTTTATACACCCGGGATGAACTATTGTCGTTGAAAATCTCATCACAACAGTCATAGAAGCAATTGGTTTTCACGAGGGGTTCGCAAGGCCGGTCGTAAACATCTAACTGGTCGGCCGCTTCATAAGCACTGCTCTACATATATGCTACTTGCGACTTGCGCTGCCGTTACGTAGCAGGAAAATAGGCTGATGTGTTCGTGAAGTACATTCATTTGCACACCAATTTGGTTTGAACTATACTGAATCCCAGCTGTTCTTTAATTGGATGTCCTGTACAAAGGGCACCTCATGTCTGAGAGTTTTCGGCAATCTCATGAGTGTAAAGATGTACATTACTGATGAAACAAGTGTAAAATGTCGAAGCGTTGTCCCTGTATCTGATGAGAGGTTGATATGAGAATTACTGAACCACTTCGCCTTGTTTGTTCGTTACTGTTTGTTTGTCAAACAATGTCCGGGAAATCTCAAGAGGACGCTTTGAGGTGTTCCTTTTGAAAAAGTCTGTGTAGATGACATTTTTACTCTCGTGTTCTGTCAAGCTGGCGTGTTGTTGAAAAACTACCCGTGCCGGTAATAACCAGCATTGATTTGGGGGCAAGCGATGCGGACATTACAGTGACAACAGCGAGTTTCTAAGGTCAGCGCGTTCCTCTAAACCGATGAAAGCTTCCGGTAATTAGAGACGATGCCGTGCGTGACCCAGAGACAATAAAAGCAACGCTGGTGTGGAGAAGGATGATCAACGAGCAACTCACCTCAGGTTGGATCGCCTGGAAGAATTTCATTTCAATCAAGGTGATCTGTTGCTGGAAAGTGGGGATAAAGATATCATGAATGAAATCGGTGTAAATGGATTCAGTTCAACAAAAACAGTACGGTTCGCGTACTGTTCGCGTCTGTGAGCGAACGATTTTTTCCGATCTAACTGGTCCATTTTACTCGGGAAATAAAACTTCCTGTCCAAACAAACACCAGTACTGTCTGCTTGCAAGTCAAACAAGGGGTGTCACTGTAGAGTTTAGAGTCTTCTGATAATGACACGTTGAAAACAGTGGCAAAAAAGCAGAGCACTAAGATCAGAGAGCGCTAACTTCTGTTCAAATCGTGCCCGTATCATGAGGCAAAACGCAATCGAACCCAGATCGTTCGCCTTTGTGTTTCGCTGACCCGTACCACGTCGTTAAAAGGCTACTCGTTCCGAACGCATTTATGGGTGTTTGCATCTGCTTTGTATCTCCACCGAAATGAGGTGCTTTCGTTTAACCCACTTATGCGAACCTCCGTAGGATCACTGAAGATCGATAAGCATCATCTCTTTGACAATGTTCAGAGTTATCTGTCCAGAACCATCCGTCATGGGCAAGAAGGCGAACACGAGTCCCTCACTCAGAAATTCCTCAAAAGTGTTGAACTTTGTGAAGATTTTGTAGAATGAAAATCAGTGCTGGTCAAGAGTAAGCAAATGCTCAAAAAGTGTTTTTATCAACACAGGGTCACTCAACTAATATCATCTGATTGTCGCACGAGCGTGACTCGCCAAGGCCAACCATACGAGTTCATATACATGATCGTAAGATACGGGTCGGGGGAATCGTCATGCTAATTTATTTCGTCTGTTCATTTTGATCCAGCAAAATGTCTTAACAGATGTGTGTGTGTTTAGTGATCGAACAAGTTGGACCTCACGCTACGCATGGATAAAACTGAATGCGATGTCAGTGAAATCGATTATGTTTTCAGAACGATAAAGGGACCATGACAGGTGTATAAGTAGCTTCTATTGGCGATAAGCGTTGGATGACGCCTTGTGAGTTGGTGTTTGCGCTTGGTTTTTAGCCAAAAGTTACCCAATACTAGTGCGGTACGTCAAATTTATCACGTTTATTTGTACCTTTTGTTTCAGTCTAGCATTCATACAATCATAGAATGTATACTTCCTGAGGCCACGGATCTACGTGTCAAGCTAACATGTGAAGAAAGACCAGCGTACCTGAATTGGGTATTCGTTGTTTGCTGGTGTTAGCTACCAGTCATCCATCTTCTCAGTCTACTTAAACTGGCTTACTGTATTCGATCTTTGGTACGGTATACGTAAGTCCCTTCGGCATGTGGTCTTCAATAGCTTCAGAACGGACTTGGGAATGGTGAGCAACTAAAGCATCGTCACGAGGAGACTGGACCTTACCGTGGTGAAACGGTTTGTGTATCTCGGCGATCCACCAAGCTATACTGGGGGGTGTCCGCGTGGCACTAGAATTCTTTCATACCACGTTGGTCAGCGGTAAGAGGTCTGAAAAACACGGTTTCCTGGTCCTCCAGTTGGGGGTTGCAACATGTGTGGCGACGTAAAAATGGTAATGTGGTCGCATTTCAAGCCAAACACCGCTGCCTTGCGGTTTGGCTTTTGAGCCAAATGCTTTGGTTGAAGATCCTGATCATCCTTCTGTGGGCACCCAGGAAGTATCCCAGCCCATGCACAACCATGAATTTTAAGGCAGCGAGGCATCGATGTTGAACACCGATGTCATGCGAGGAATTCGGGCGAAAAATTGCCGGACCAACTTTTTTGAAAGTGTATACGTGGTGTCATGAATAGTCCGAGTGCATAGTATCGCCTTTTCGAAAGGGCTGTCTCCAAAATCATACGAAGTGTAACAAGAATCCCATCTATCTGGACCCGTCGCGTCGTAAAACACTAAATGAACTTGTGGATAGTGCTTAAACTGTATTCTAAGCACGCTCGTTCGAGAAACCACTTGCCAGATATGAAGCGGTGATTCTATTAAGTTCGCACCACAGAAGGGAAGCACTGGATTTGACCTTTGCTCTCACTGCAGTGTATCAGCAATTTAAATTTTCGGCAATCACAGTGGTTAAAATCCGATCAGCTGAGAAAGCGAAGCAAGTCTGCTTAGCCATCACTAAAACGATAGATGTTGGTTGTATCCAAATTGACAAATCTGGCCGAATCGACATTTGAGCGTTCGGCTCGCTGATGTGTAGTTCACCAGATACCTTTACCGATGATCCACTGAGTTCTCTAGTAGGTTCAGTTCTTGGGAAAATCTGAGTCGTTGTGACCAACCCAAGAGGCGGCATTGCTGAATTCAAATGTAAAACGGAGTGTCGCGTGCCCATTCACTGGTACATGCCAGATCTAATTCCGTTGGCATTCACCATTAGGGGAGGCGAGTAAACTATCAGTCTTCAGGGCTCAGACGAATATTCTGTTTGTCTTTGACTGAGGTTGGCGAGATTCACTGCTCACATTTCCATTGTGAGGATGTGATTCTAAAGTAACTTTCGTTCATTCACGTCATATGACTAGATTTCTACTCCGACCTTGGAGCTAGAACAAATCGGTTGCGTGGAACGTGTTAGAAGGACTGCCTGCAAGCCAACAAATCCATTTTGCTGACGATTAATCTTGTAGACTGAAACCTTGTTTGCTCCATTTCAGCCTTGCATTGATATCACATTAGACTGTTCGCTCTTTTACATTCTGTTTCATTTGAATTTATATCACGAAACGGTTTCGCTGTTTCAACTACAACTTTTTTCAAGGTCACTGTCTTCTCGACTGGGAGGCTACTGATAAGCTTGACTAATTCATCATTAGAGACCATACCCGGAAGATCAATACAGTCAGAGGCAATTACAGCGGAGCATATGGCTCTGTCCAATCAGCGAAGGCCAAAAATTTACCAGCTTCCAAGACCTGCGTTACACTAAATGGTAAAAGTGGTTTTTTTTGTGAACAACAGAGCACACAAAGCGCATGCGGGACGATGAGCTAGCGTGCCTCATCCCATGAAATCAGTATCAGACCACCTACTGTAGGGGGTGTAAGCAAAGAATCCATGATCGGGTGTTTCTGGCTTTGTGAGTCCTGGTTAGGAGTGGATGGTTAGGAGTGGTCCCAAACTCAGTGACATGAAACGGCTACACTGGACAGCCCAACATACGCGTCTATAGCAATTCACTAACTGGGTGACGATATCTGTCCGAGATGACTGTTGTCTCAACCAACGTAAAGCGTCCAGGTTTTCGAACATCTACAGCTAACAGCGCTGGAACACGACCGGAAAAATTGTCATCCCCAAGCTCTAAGCTTGAAGCAAACAAGACACTAAGGGAAATCGAAGCATCTTAAGATGGCACACCGAAATAGCGGACAATGTTTGCAAGACTACTGACTACAAAGAATTCTAACCAAAACACACTTACTGCAAGAAGCTCGGGGCTAACTTTCAAATGTTGCTCGTGGCACCTTCCTTTTCCCACATCCAAAGTGTCAAAGCTTTTACGTGATACTCCGACAATTCTGGGCTCCGAGGAACGTGGCATCGACCGGTCAGATGGCTCTCGTAAGTTGATTTTGGCTCTTCCAGGTGGACTTAAACCAAGCTGACCGAAAATAGACTCCAACGAGCTCTGAAGAAGCAAGTCGATGAGGAAGCAGAGAGACGATATTAAAAGTTAGCATGAAGATATCCATACTGCATACTGCATATAATAAGTCATTACCAACTAGCCTATGCCAACTCGGTGAAAAGAGTAGCACGCGTGAAGCTGAAACACAGGCGCGGGCATAACATATACCGAGATAGATTGCGATCAAATCAAATCAAATCAAATCGACCATGGTGTGGTCGAATGTATCACGTACAAGCACAAAGTTCACTAGATCGACGCAGCTACTCGCAACATAAGAATCAGACTGTTCGGTTGCAACGAACAGTGTGTACATAATGCGGCAATAAACTAACAAAACTTCCCGACCGGTCACGCTTCGTGGTATGAAATATTTCGACCGTTATCCAGGCACACTCGAACGCTGAGAATGTGACAGTGTTTGCTATTGTAGCCAAGTGGATTAACTACATAAGGAGGTTGAATGGAGGTGAGTTAGAGGAGCTATGCTCTCGGCTTTCGAAATTGTTTGTCTAGGCCACCTGACTCGACTAAATGAACACTGGATATCGCCAAAATCAGCATATCTTATTACTGCCAGAAAGACAATTGGGGACTGTGATGGCGTACACAGATCCCTTGAACACCGGATAATCAGGGGCTTGAAGAATGACAGAGAATGTTGGTGGATCTCGAAGGCCCAGGAGGTGGAGAAGGCCTTCGCTGCAGGCAATACCCGCGCCATGTTTAAACTGACTCGATCAACCGGTCAAAAGAAAACAGATGTCGGTGAAACAATATGCGAAAAAGACGGAACGGCAATTCACCCCCTCAATCGTCGTCTGAAATGGTGGGCTGAGCACCTCAAAGAACAGTTCAGCCGATCTCCTTCAACACAACCACTGGAACGACCCAGCGGACCTAAATGGAACATCGATAGCAACCCTCCATCGGCAAGCGAAATCCAGCATGAGATATCGATCCTGAAGCGCGATAAGGCACCTGGCCCGAAATGTCTGTTACCTGCACTTTTCGAACAAGGCGGCGAGGTCCTGGTGAACAGCCTGACAACCATAATGCAGAATATTTGGAACGAAAACATAACACCAGTAGAATGCAGCTCCTTGACCTTTATCCCAGTCTTCAAAAAGGGTGCAAAAAAGTCATGCAAAAACCATCGTGGCATCAGCCTGTTATCCACCGCATCTAAATTGCTCTCCGGTATTATTTTGCGCAGGTTGATCGACTATCGGAAGAGAGAGGTTCACGGGAATCAAGCTGGATTTCTCCCTGACCTAGGATGCACCGGCTATACCTTTAGTTTAAGACAAATTCTTGAACAGAACACTCTTTCAAACGTCCCACGTAGGTTGTTTTCTTTCTTGATCTAAAAGCTGCTTTGGACTGTCAGTCGTCAAGAATCTTGGCGGTGTATGGACTGGTACGGGTATACGGCAAGCTTTCACCAGAATTCACCATGTCCAGTCCTCTCTCACCTTTCATCTTCAACATTGTTACTGATATGCGGATTGAAATTTCTCTGCCTGCCTCTGAAACCTCGGGAGTCGAAATCCTCCCGGGGTTTCCGCCCATAGACATTGGGTATTGCTCTCCTTGGTTCAGATCCTTCAAAAATGCAAATCATTTAAAATAACCTAAACAACTCTGTGGCACGGTTTGAAATGCACTGCACACCTGTAACGCGTAAAGTGCCGCTGCAAGACAGAGTGGGACGAAACGTGAACCTCATGCTCGCAGAAGAGCCAACCGACAGGGTAGATAAATCTGTTTACCCGGGCAGTTGTATGAGTGTCGGTGAAGTGGTCAATCGACGGGGTAGATAAATTTGTTTACCGGAGCAGTTGTATGAGTGCCGGCAAAGTGGTTGGAGATGAGATTACTTCCCGGATCGGGAAAGGCAGGGCAGCTTTTGCCAACCTCCTAAACCTATGGCACCGAGAAGACATCAGTTTGCCTGCCAAAAGCAGAGACTATACTGCGGTGGTACGATTCATACTGCTTTATGGATCAGAAACGTGGCTTGTACGCGCAAAAGACATATGAAAGTAACACGATAGACCAAATGCTGAGCCCGATTCCTCGAACAGCACTAAAGCCGGCCCCTGACTATCAACACCAACACCTTCTATCACTACACCACTGTGATCAGAAAACACTGGATCTCCCTGTGCGCCGGAAACATACCGAAACATTCAATGCCTCGAACGACACAAGACCTCAGGTCCACGTGAACTGTCACCCGCCTTATTCAAAGACAGATCCTCGCTACTGTACAAAAGTGTCAGAACGAGCAGCTATCATACAACTGTCTGTACTGAAGGACCACGTTATATCTTACTGCTGACCCCGCTCCAGTGCCTTAGTGCCGGAAAAAGACTCGCCAACAAGGAACACAAGAGCTTCATTGCGAACAAGCGAGTTCAACAGTTACAAGAGACCTCGCGCTGTGAGTGAGTGAGTGAGTGAGTGAGTGAGTGAGTGAGTGAGTGAGTGAGTGAGTGAGTGAGTGAGTGAGTGAGTGAGTGAGTGAGTGAGTGAGTGAGTGAGTGAGTGAGTGAGTGAGTGAGTGAGTGAGTGAGTGAGTGAGTGAGTGAGTGAGTGAGTGAGTGAGTGAGTGAGTGAGTGAGTGAGTGAGTGAGTGAGTGAGTGAGTGAGTGAGTGAGTGAGTGAGTGAGTGAGTGAGTGAGTGAGTGAGTGAGTGAGTGAGTGAGTGAGTGAGTGAGTGAGTGAGTGAGTGAGTGAGTGAGTGAGTGAGTGAGTGAGTGAGTGAGTGAGTGAGTGAGTGAGTGAGTGAGTGATAGGATGCTTGCCGGGCTTACTATAGATATTTCGGCGAAGTTTTAGGGTCTCAGTAAGTTTCGGGAATTCTGGGGTTATTTTCAGGAATCTGACCTTCCTGACAGACCAGATAGCAACAATAACCTTGAAAGTAAAATTCAGCTTCAGAGACGCAGAGCAGCAACGAGCTGTCGGACATCTCTCAACCACCCAAGGTCAAACAATATGATCGGGCAGCGAACGGCTAAAGCAGAGTGAACAAGGGTCTGTCCAGTGAGGCCATTCCAACGGACAAACATCACTGAACTCTGGATCCGTGTGGACAAAGAGGGCAAGGCTTTGGAAATGATTCATTGCCGGTCTTACCAAGACATGGGGCCGACCACGGGTTCGAAGTATCCACACAGATTGAGTATGTGGAGCTGAAGCACTATTGCTTCAGCAAAGTGTCATAAATCTTTCCTGTTTTGATACAAGTATGAATGAAAATCCGCACTCATTGCAGTTCAGTAGGTTGCGAGCAACCAAGTTGGATAAAACACTGGCAAATTGTGATCGTTAGCTTTCTTATTTTTCATCTAGTCTAGTCAAGCAAGTCTAATCAGTGAAATGAGGCTTTCACAACTTTTACTACTTTGGAATTCACAAACTAGGAATCTAAAGGAGCTGCGATCGCTTTGATGATGTGACCTTACAAAAGAAGTTACCCACAGCTGATGTGAACTCACCAAACCGATTACCATATGAGATTTATGGTTATCCCAACCTGCGCAAACACATCAGTGCCCGCACATCTAAAGAGACCCACGAGCGTTAGGATAGGCACTCTTCGTTTTATGACATGCGTTTGGAAGCTTCAAGGTAAAACCCTTCGTAGATAACATAGAGTGAGTGCAACCTGTATCTCAAGTTCAAAAGTTCAGTACAAAAGCACTTCGTAGATAAATCTTGTAGATGCATTAGGGCTCAACTTGATCTTACTCCCTCGAGTATGAGTTCAGTTCGAATTAGGAAGACCAAAAATCTGAGATCAGCTCGAGCCGCCGAGGAAATTCCCCCACGGATCGATGGGGGAAATATCGCATCGAACGTTGCCCTTACCACTATAGTGAAGCCTCAACAGACACCGTTTGATTCGATCGAAAAAAGGGTTATTTTCTCGTATGCACATGCATAGAGATGAGACAGTGCAAAGACAGGACGCCAGCTGTACTCAGCCATCTAACGCCTTCAATCCTACCCAGATTTACTCAGTACATTGTGGCCGTTGACAATAAGCAGAGATATTGCTAACTAGCTCTGCTAAGAGCGAATCGTGGGTCTCGAGCTTCCACCCTTGGATATGAACTAATCAGGAGAATCACATAATTATGAGGAAATGGATATTCAAACGAGTCTGAGGACGACACACGTTCAACGAATCCCGCAAGTGTCGGACGACGCTAAGTACATAGATGAACCGTTAACGAAAAAAAAACAAGGGACGCTCAATACTACCTGAAACAATAAGTAAATGTTCTTACGAGGACAGTAAATTGCAAAACTACAGTCTCTTTTGTTCCCAGTATCAAAATGAATATGAAATAACACCACATGTATTTTCATTCAACTGTAACACCCTTCTGGTGCCTAGCTGTCATGCCACCTGAAGGAAGTACGAGGACTGAGGTACCATCAGGTTACCCAGGCCTACAAAGGAGCAGTTGAGTTGAATTCACAAACCTTGTCGTTGTACCTTAACTAATGAGCTATCTGGGCTCAGGTCAAGAAAGTAGCACAAGGCGCCTTGAGTAGGATAATAGCACCATTGTTCGACGGATACAGTCCTATCATCTGACGATCCATATTACGAAGGATAGCATTTAAGTAAAGGGTGTCGAGTACTATGTGCTGAAAGCGGCGTCGAATTTCGGCCCCAAGTCAGAACGGATGGAGTTGATACACATCAAATCACAATTAAATGGGGAATTTGAGGAAGCTAAACATTTTATAGGACCGAAAATCGGTTGCGATACGAAACAGATTGTTCGAAAGAGAACCTCACGTATGATGGTTTGATCCCAACGATTCTAACTACAGTGGACACACAACGAAAACATCGAATGATGTTTTCTTCTGTGGCGTCTGGGCGAATAAACCACAGTCGGCGCAGTATTCCTGTAAATTGAGAAATGGTAGAAGTATCGATATGAAACGCACAATTGGTGATTTCCCGAAGGCTTTATTCCTACTACTTCCCCGACGACTTACTGTGTCGTTGAAACCCAAGTTAATCCGCATACTTGGGGTTTGGGAAGTACCATTTCTATGTGGCTTTTGGTCGTACTGTTGTGTCATTGGTCTGTAACTGTCTCGTTCTTGCCAGAGACCTCTAACAGGGTTTGGTACATACCCCAGATTTGGTTCACCAGAAGAGGAAGTTCCGCGAAAACCAGGTACGTTTTTCATGACAGGAGAAATGCTATGCCGACCACTCATTGATCCACCGTCTGGACACCACGCGCAGCCCTTGGAAAGTGTACGGTATCACACTGATGTGATAATACGTGGACAAGTAGCCAGAGTCATCCGACGAAGGCATCCGAATCATGGTCACTTGCCAGTAATGTTGAAATCGGATATCTTTAGATAATACCACGTGAGATCTGAAGTCAGTTCCAGTATAAGACCAGATTGCTCTGTAAAGCAGGATATAATAGAAGTAGCAGTTGTAGGTTTGTGCTGAGGGACAGAATTATATTCGTAAAAATAACCGTGAAATATGTGGCGTGACAACCAGGGAGGAGATAAATGCAGTACCTACAATACTTTGGATATACCGCACGAAAGTCTATCACAATATCCCCTTCGAGCGGCCTGCTAACCGTCGATAAAACTCCATCATGCTTACCATGCAAAATCTTCCAGTACGGTAACCAAAACTGTTCAGTACCGTAGTTGCTTCTCACGCATTTTGTAATAGCATATCCGACCACTTCATCGTCATCGGCAGCACGAAACCAATGCTCCTGTAAAACCATGACTCATTTGAAAGCCCTACTGTGAAGAACAGAACGAAAATGAACGTGAAAGGGATTCAGCGCTAGCCTAACGTAATCATTTAGGGATGTCTATACCTCCACACACCCAGTCAGGTAAGCTGGATAGAAACTGACAACAGGAACACCACTGACATCGATTAGCAGCCATAACTTGCACTGCCTCCAACCAGGCGCATTGGGGATCACATGGTTCCCATCCTGGAAAACGAGTCACACCAACAGCACCCAGACTTTTCGTAATCTCTTTCGTGGCCTCAGCTAGGTCAAAGTTTGACTACATACCTGCTTCCGCCACTCCGAATCAGGCAAGGAAAACAGCACTCTCCTCGGTAAACGATTATTTGGCAGGCGCAGTACATGGTCTAACAAACACCGCTTCTGGTGCTGGACATATTCTTCAATGGAAGTACCCGTTGCACAGACGAACACTCGCTTTCTGACCGAATCGTTGAGGATTAGCCGACACACACACGAACTATGGCTCCCAGAAAATGATTGTCGAACGTCTGAAGAAGTCTCAGTTCGACTAATGGGAGAAGCCAAGTCCCCAAGCTGCAGCATGGTACACACTTTCCTTTGGATTCAGAAATACGTGGCTCTGTTAGCACTAATGTTGCAAACAGACAAACGTGATCCGAGCGTTCAAGATTGGTGCATTGACCGCATCCGTCAAACTACAATCTGAACTAATACCAATTTCCAACTGAAATGCTCCGCAACTTTGAGTGTCTATCCCTGGATTGTAAGTGGTGTGTTCAGTGACTGTATATCCACTTTGCTGGTACAACGAGCATGCCGAAAGACGGGATGACTCTGGTCAGTTCATCCAAAAAGACCTGCGCCTTCTCCTCTTTGAAGACCTGAACGATCTCGTCTTCAGATTCCAGATTCGTAAGCAGCTACCGGAACATTAGGGCTTTGAAGATCTTTCAGTGCTCGTCTCGTCATCTCATCCATCAAGTGATTGAACATGAATAGAGAGAGTGGACACCACCGATGCACAGCGTTTCGTGTAAGGGAACTTTTGAAGAGCTCTCTGTATATTGTCACATGTCCAGGAATCTGAGAATACAAGGAACTTATTATGTTCACAAACTTCTTGGGCTTTCCGTGCTAGGCAAGCACTTTGAGGAGGACAGACCGGTCAACTGAGGCTAATGCTTTTTGAAATCCAGGAATACTAAAACTGTGGTCGTTCATACACATGGCACTATTCTAGAACCTGACGGGAGTAGCAAGCAGGAATCCTATTATGTTCGGGACCGCCGGGAATGTTTATCCGAGGTGCACTTAGTACCACTGTTCTACCTGATATCTAGAGCCTTAGCGAAGGTGGTGGAGTCGTGTAAGAAGCAAGTCTCCCAGAACTGCATAAAGATGTGGCAATCTCGTTCTGGCACGAATTCGCGTCCGACGCAGAGGCAGTTGGAAGAGTCCAGAAGACTATTCTGGTAACTCCTAACTTCGGGATCTGCCAGTATCACAAATGCTAAGCAGTTTATCCGCACCCTATGTGACCTGGAAGACGAACACAGAAACGATTCCAGAAGAGTGCATAGCGAGTATCCACGGAAGTGTTCCAAAGTTAGCGGCAGTCAGTTATTAATCAACGCCATCGGCATGTGATGACGATCTGGGCAACTTGGTTAGTGGCTGGAACGCTGCTGGAGAGCACCATATGGCCAGAGGACTTCGGTAATTTCGGAAAGTCTGCGGTTAACAAATGGGTAAAACAATTGCCCGCCACCGTCCGTGCGTACCGAATCCAATGTATGTCGACCACGTAGTTGAGTCTCAGGTATGCTGATTGTGTCCACTAGTGCACTTAGATCTTTCCGGCAACCACAACGATCAGTGAGCTTCTAGCCCGCTGTAACAGGGCACTCAGGGTGTCATGAAACTTGCCTTTGGTGGTATGAGAGCTAGTCGGTTGGGGTGTAAACAGACGCGACAAAACCGACAGCGAACAAATTCCCGATTGTGAGATTCCTTCACGGACGTTGCCAGACGATCCGCACAGAGGCGACCATCAACGGGTATCCAGTCAAGCAAGGATCCTTCCGCCCAAGACACTAACCCCTGCAATGGCCCCTGGTTCGCCAGAGGGGCGCAGGGGAGGAGGCGGAGAAGAGGGGTGGATCAGTTGGCTCAACCACCATGCTTGCATTTGAACTCTCGTTTTTTGACACAGCGCACATCGAAATCAAACGAGTCCAGTGTCAGAGCAAGAACAGCTTGTTATCCGGCTTGCATCAGGTTGTGAATATTAAAAGAGGCCAGATACACTGGCCGTTGAGGCTTCAAGATTGATTTAGAGGCGCCTGATACTATTGGCACCGGATGACACTATGTTGCGGCCAACACCACTGCAAGACGAACAGATTTGTCATTCATAACGGATGGGCCTACAAGGAGTGTTAGTAATGGAGTAGAGGAGGATGTAAAAACATATGAAAAAGAGATGCCAGTAGTAGCCTGTTTTAGCTTCATCTTTAGAGGCAGCAACATCACTGATGCATCACCGCTGCACAACCACGAAATCTACCTAAAAATATTAGGATAAAAAGAAGAGCGGGTGAGGGAGGGGACCTGGGGCTGGCCTATCGCAAGCATTCTGAGGTGCATACACATCCAAGCGTTCAGTCGGACAAGCTGGAAAGAAAGTTACAACACGAACACCACTGACATCGATCAGCCATCATCTCTTGCACAAGCAAGCCCAATCAACACCTACCTAAGAAAGCACTGCCCACAAATGCGAACTCTTGTTGGCCAAAAGCCTGCGGGGGACAGTCCGTGGCATGACAAGCCGAAATGAAGGCAGTTACCGTTGGGTTGAGCGAAGTGGAATTTTTGCGCCTTCCTGATTGGGATCCGCGTGGACGCGGCACGTAACTGATCCCAGTGCTTAAAGTGTTGTTACTGATTGATAAATTTGATCCGTCGTTCTGTTTAGCCACCTAGTTCTTCATCGTTTACCATGGGGAGATGGGGTTGTTTGCGCTTAGTTCACACCCTTGCTTTTCCAATCTGTCATAGGGCATTCTTCCTCGTGGTAGTGTGTGATTTAACCATCAGAATTTACTGCTGGTGTATTGACGTCGGCATCAGTGCCAACACTGATGTTCCTGTCATTGATGATGATGATGATGATCTTGCACGGCCTTCAGTCAAGCACAGTAGGGGTCACGTAGGGCGTACTGCACCAACATCTTCTCTTCGCATTCTCTTTTACACCCTTCCACCAACTCATAAGTTGTCCATCTCCCGGTCTCCGCTATTCTGAAGGAGACAGAAAACAATACTCGTCTCGGTAGACGGTGCTTCGGTATGCACAGCACATGACTGAGCCGTTTCAGCTGATGATACTGGATGTCTTTCGCGATTGAAGTACCTGCTTCACAAACACTCGTTTTCTAAATACCTCGTTACGAATTCGTTGACGCCATTCGACACAGGCAACGCTTCTGAGGCATTGATGGTAAAATCCTGAGAACGCCAAACATCACCCGTCCACATTCGCAATCACACAATAATACATCCCTTGGTGCAGTCTGGTACACGCGACCCCTGAGACATAGTAGTACGCCTTTTCAACGCCACAAGTAAAGCAAACCAGCAAACATGATTCGGGCCTTTGATATTCGTGCACTGACTTCATCAGATACACTCCCGCCAAAGATAACGCAACTGCCGAGGTATATGAAATACTCCACAACCTCCAGTGAATCTCCTTGAATTGTAAGGGGCGTGTTCAGAGACTGCGCGTCACAAAGCATGACTTTGTACTTTCAAGATACTAGGCACATACCAAAAGATGGTATGGCAGCGGCCAGTTTATTCAAGAGGTTGTGGTGCGCCTTCGTCCTCAAAGATGGGGGCGATTTCGTCTGAGTACTCCAGATCAAGATGGCTCAGTGGTTAGAGTGCGAATTTACTGATCGGAAGGTCCGTAGTTCAAAGCCGACCTCTGCCTCTCGACTTCACCTGTCTAGGGTTGGGCGACCTGAGAGCATCCCAGCCTTCGTGCTTCCTTTGGGTAGCATGGCAGCTAGGCTCGAAAGGATGTTACATCCGAATGATTTCTTTTACTCTAGATCGACGAGGTTCTCACCAGTAATAATTTGAACACCGGTGTTTTGAGAACCTTTCAGAGTTCGCCTAATCATCTCACCAGCGACGAAGTTGAGCAAGAATAGAGTGGATGTCCTTGTCGGACACCACTTTTTGTAAGGAAGCTTTCAGAGAGCACACCACACTTTCACATGCCTAGAAGGATGTGAATAAAGGGATCGGACTTTGTTCACAAACTTCTTGGGCATACCTTGTTGAGCAAGTATAATTAACAGAATCGAACGCACCTTTGAAGCCAAGAAACACCAAGATTTGGGTCCGCTGTACATGTGGTGTTGTTCTAACACCCGAAGGAATGTGTAGATAAGGTAAACGCAGTCTCCACCAGGTCGAAATCCTACCTTATGCTCACGTGTCAAGGATTCGTTTGCCACCGTAAGACGACGATGAAACAATGACGCTAAAAGCCGTAACAAAAAAGTCAAACTAACACCTCTGTGGTTACTAGATTCAGTGCGAGTACTCATTCTGAAAATGGGGACTATTATCTATTCACTTCAGTTGTCTGGGACGGTCTCGTCTTTCCAGATAGACCCAAATAGGATACACAGGTGCCGGCTGAGAAACTAACCGGGATCCTTGAAAAGAACCTATAGGAGGTCGTCAAGACAAGGATGAAAAGGATGCTAGAGTAGAGATATACAATCGGACACTTTTAAGGCTGACGTGACTTCCATATTCACAGTGCACCTTTCTGTTGAACGGCGTCAGTCCGGATTGGAGGTAGAAGTTGGCCAACGGAACTGTTGTTCGAAGTATTGTGCCCAGCGGTCCAAACGCTCTCCTTTGCTGGATGTGAGAAAACCATTCTGATCCTTGATCGTTGCGCTGGCAAGAGGCTTCCGAGGACCAGCGGAAAGAATCGAGTGGAACGGCCTGCGGACATTTCCAGGATTTTTTGTATCTCCCATTTCTTCGGCCTTTCGAATCCACCGGGTTCCGTGGTTTGTATGGACACTGGCGTCAGATGATGCGTCGGATGGTGTTGCGGTTGCGGCCAGGGGGTCTGTCACCGGACCTCCAGCAAAGCCACGGACCTATTACAGATCTCATGTTTGGACGAGGTTGGCTGCGTTGTGTGGCAAAAGGAAGTCCCAGCACTGTCGACATCTGTTTCCAGTGGCCGTGCGACCGTCCGGCATGCGTTCGACGAGCTGGTTATGATAGTTTCGTTTGATTCCTGGGTCCACTAGCTTCTTAATGGTTATACAAGGTGTGTGCGTTTTGTGTAGACTTGCAAAGCGTAATGAAAAGCAGCAGCATACAGTTGCATGGTCGAAATCCACGCTAGTGTTATAGAAGAATCGGAAAGCAGTGATCGACCCTCATCCCTGATAACTGACGCTGATGTGGTCTATTTGGGTTCGTGGCTGGTTCGTTTGTGGGCACAACGTCGTCAAGCGATTGCCGCTGTTCAGGAAATTGGT